GTCAGTGTTTCTTGAAGGTCTAAGAATGTTCAACAATCTACCTGGTTATGGTATGTTTTCAAATTGGAGCACAGAATCATGTCTCTCGGTCCATCGTATTTCGCACATACTATGAATTGGACACTGCTGCTTTTTGAAATCGAAAGATTCAAGGCATGATTTGCGCATGGGCTTTTTATAGCATTTGGCAAACATTTTTGCAATTCCATTACAGCGCCCTTTTGTTCACCTAACATAAGGTTACACGTATCAGTACCAATGCACACACATAGTTTTGAGCCTAAGTTATTGGTTTTAATGAAATGCTTGACTGTTTGAGCAAGAATTTGACCTGTGAGTTTGGGCTCCATTGTATCTTCAAGAAAATTTGAGCAGCAATCCACAAATCCCATAAAGTCCTCGTAAATATGTTTTTGATAACAATACCGCAATACGATTGACATTTGTGATTTATGGCTAATGTCTGTAGTTTCGTCAAATATAATACTGTAAAATACTGACTTTGCTTGACGCGACTTAAAACTATATCCAAGATTTCTTCGCCACAACATTCTATGATATCATTTTCAATGCGGCTGCTTATGTACTACGTAGCATGCGCATTTGAGTTTTTTTTTCAATAAATTGTCGCCGCTCTCGACTCTAAATCATATTAGTTCTCTAAAATTTCGTTCATCATTCATGCTGTCATTAGAAAAAAGTCGTCATCTATTTCTATGTTCTCTAAGTGGTATATTTTGGCGTCCTAAAAATATGATAGATTCTATTATAGGAGTCAATCTTTGCCGATTTTCTGATACTTGCTTAATTCGCTCTGAACCTATTATATTTCGTATATCATTCTCTGGATTTTCGTAAATCTTTAGAAAGTTTGTCGCATCTGAAACTGCTTCTGCATGATATATTGAGTTCTCATGTGTCTCACGATAACCGGCTTTGCCATTCAAATTCGAAAATTTCTCTAGTGGTACAGTAACAAGTTTTCCAAATTCAGTTGATTTATGCACTCCTAATTTTGCAAATACCACGCAATATTTACAGAAAAGACCTTGTTGTTCCTCTGAATATGACAGCAAAGGAAATTTCTCAAAGTGTTTTTTTGATAAGTAACATTTCACTTCTTTATTATTTTTCAAGTGTGTGGAATATGGATATTTGAAAGAGTCATTAGGGGTCATTTCACACCTCAATAAGGTATATTTTTCATGGGAAGACAAGTGGCCGCTGAAATTTACATCAACATCAACAAAATTGGATCCTTTAGGTTCAACACCTGGTTCAGCATACGGTGCAACATCAAGAAATTTTGATGTGGAAGGTTCGGGTTGAATTGTAGGATTATCACCAGTTTTTTTCCGATAATTCTTGTGCCGGTGGATCAGACCGTTTGTTTTATTTAGAAAGGAACCAGTCGATGGTATTCTGTTTCCTTTTACTCATCCTGACAACACCAGCACTAAAAGTTACACAAATATTGTCAAATAAACGGCATTATTGGTTTCCACGCATTCACGTATCTCAAAACAAAGAACCTTCCTTTTGGAAAACAAGATTTCTTAAGTTCACGCAATTTTCAAAAACTAAATATATTATTTGCCATCTTGGATGAACGCATTGCACTGAAGTGCTTATATACAGGGAATAGACATAGATGATAATGATAGCTGGAGTATGGACCAAACACGTCGTAATTGAAATTGTATCAAATTTCCATCTTTAGGTCTGCCATTTTTTAGACACGATTCTTTTATAGTATGAAAACTAAAAACAAACAAAAGTTAATTTTCTGGCTTATGCGTGGAAAATAAAAAATCAATAGAACTTAGAAAATAGCGTTAATACCAACCAGATCAACAAAACTCCGCTTGTTCACTTCTCAGCCAAATTTTGTTGCGCAATCCAGACTTGTACAGAATTTAGACACTAGACTAGACCATAAAAGACTAGACTATACCTGTTCCAACAGGAAGAAGCGCACACCTTTGCTGTTGGTGGGAGGGTAGTCGCTAGTCGCATGCGCACTGAGCGGGTTGGCAGTGTTGCCGCTATCCTTTCTTAAAGTTACAGATTTTTTTATAAGACGTTTACTTTATACCACCTTTTCAAAGATTGCTCGAGTCGTCAGCGCGGGGTAATTACCACCTTTACCCCCCCTCCTCCGTGGGAGCGCCAGTGATCGAAATTTATTATGATCCTAATAACATAAAATGTAACCTATCTCTGAACCACTAACATTTCCTTCGAAGATAAAAACGCCGCGGTCAACGTCAAAATTGAATTCGCCCTAGCAAAGTCACAGCCGCCTAACCCGAATTTTATTGGGGTCAAAGCAGGGAGGCCCCAAAGACTGACCCCTCTTCATCCCGCTGTATAATCTTCTCTGCCTAGTGGTGGGAGGTGTCACCTGCGAAATAAATCAGGGCAAAAGAAGCAATTACGCACCGTTAATTGAGTATTTTCGAGGGCGAAATTTAATTTTACTGTGCCCCGTCTCACCACCGACCGACTGGAGGTATGGCATGAAATAGAAAGGGATGATGCCGTAAGCATAATAGGAATTAAACGCATCTAAACGATCTCGAAGCTGCGATTAGAATAACAATGGATTGTTCTTACGTTTAAACATCGGAATCACAATCCAGTGAATGAATATTTGAGATTTCACTGATCAACAGCCAAAAAATATCCTAAATAAAATCAACAAAATATTACTATTTTTAATGTGCTAAAACCGGAAAGAAACTTATTTTTTCAATATTAGTTCCAGTTTTAGAGATACCGTAATTACATGTGTTAATATACTGTAATTCTAAAGAATGCACGTGCTACATTTTTATACTCGGCAAGGAAAGATGATGTAATCGGCATGATTGTGTTACGTTATACATACGTGTACATTATATTGTTTTATATTAGCCATTTTTTCCTCAGTTGGCTGACAGCGTTCATGCAAGATGTATCGAAAGTGTGTAAACAATCCAGATCAGTTTTGTTACGTGTGTGGTGATGTGACTTTTGCGTCTCAGAGACGGTCTATTACTCCACTAATAACAAAGGCATATCAGCTTTATTTCGGTTGTAAACTCGGTGATCAAGACAAACAGTGGGCACCCCACATCTGCTGTAATACATGTGCTTCAAGTCTGAGGAGCTGGTTAAATGGCAAAAAACGGTCTATGCGCTTTGCTGTCCCAATGGTTTGGAGAGAGCCTACAAATCATATTAATGATTGTTACTTTTGCATGGTACCTTGTGTTGGACAAGGCACAGGTATGTCCAAGAAAAAAAAATCGGTTATTAACTACCCAAACATACCATCTGCGATGGGACCTGTGCCTCACAGTGACGAAAATCCTATTCCAAAACCCCCAGAATCCTACACTTGCGAATCAGAAAACGAATCAGATCATGGCGATCGAGTGATTCGTCAGGAAGAAGATATGCCATCAACGTCAAGAGATCCTGATTTTATACCGAGCACGTCATGCCACCAACCGCACAAAATAACACAGTCAGAATTAAATGATCTTGTAAGAGATTTAGAACTTCCAAAATGTAAGGCAGAGTTACTTGGATCAAGACTGCAGCAGTGGAACTTGTTAGAAGATGATGTTTCGGTATGTGTTTTTCGTAAACGCCACAAAGACTTAGAACCATTTTTCAATATGGAGAATAACTTGGTTTTCTGCAGTAACATTAACGGCTTACTGGCGGCTTTAAATATAAACTATAACCCAGAAGAATAGAGATTGTTTATAGACAGTTCAACATTGAGTTTAAAGGCAGTGTTATTGCATATTGGAAATATTTTACCATCTCTTCCTGTAGGGTATGCAGTTCAGATGAAAGAATCATATGACAATATGAAGTACCTATTGACATGCATAAAATACGATGAGCACCAATGGCATATTTGTGGCGATTTGAAAGTTGTTGCACTTTTACTTGGTCTGCAGCTAGGCTACACAAAGTTTTGCTGTTTTTTGTGTGAATGGGACAGGTCAAAAAAATGTACAGCATATGCCATTAGTAGATTCGAAAAAAATTTTATTACCACCACTGTATATCAAGTTGGGCCTAATGAAAAACTTTGTCAAGGCATTAGATAGAGATGGGTCAGCTTTTCAATACCTGCGTCAGAAATTTCCAAGACTAAGTGAGGCAAAGGTTAAAGAAGGTATTTTTGTTGGGCCACAGATTCGAAATATTTTGAAAGATACACAGTTTGAAAACACTTTAACAGGTATTGAAAAAACTGCTTGGAATGATTTCCGTCTGGTGGTCACTAATTTCTTGGGAAATAGAAAAGCTGACAACTATAAAACCCTTGCCAAAAATATGCTGTCATCGTATCAAAAGATGGGCTGTAATAAGTCTCTTAAGATACATTTCCTACACTCACACCTGGACTTTTTTCCTGACAATTGCGGAGCCGTAAGTGATGAGCACGGCGAACGTTTTCATCAGGATATTTCAACAATGGAAAAAAGGTACCAGGGAAAGTGGAATCCTTCCATGCTTGCAGACTACTGTTGAAGTCTTGGTAGAGATGCTCCAGAGATAGTGATTTTTATAAGTATATGAATCTTGTTACTTTTTGTAATAAATCCTTAAAAATAAAAAGATTTTTTTCTAAACCGCAACTAATTTTTTCATTTCATTGTCATTTTTGGATTCAGCGCCTCAAAATTAACAAAGAAGTGCACTTTTCCCACAAGATACAATTAAAAAACTAAAATTTGTTGTCCAGTGTTTTTAGTGGGACGCATTCAAGATATTGTACATTAAAAAGTTTAGCTGTCAATTTTCCACGATCGTTGATTTTCGATTGTTTTGAATGCGTAGGCACTCATGACAACTTGATTTTCAAGCTCCTAGACTTGACTTGAAAACCACTCAATATCAAGTCAAATGTCATATATCAGCAATCTGATACGAAGGATGTCTTTTAAGTTTTGCATATGGAAATAAAACAACACTATAGGTAGCTTTAAATGACTTTATTGTTTTTCGAGGTATTCTCCACAAAGATTAATACACATGCGCTCGAACCAATTTTCGAAGCACTTATTCCAGTCGTTTGCTGGCAGATCCAAAACGGCATTTTTGAATGGGTCAACTGCTTCTTCTGGTGACTGCAACCTTTGACCACGCAGTCTGTTTTTAATTTTCGAGAAAGTAAAGAAATCGTTAGGACTTAGATCGGGACTATTTGGAGGATGGCCCACTAATTCCACGTTTTCTTCCGTTAAATACCGCCTTGTTTTTTGGGCTGTGTGCGAGCTTGCATTGTCTCGGTTGAGGATGATTCTTCTTTCGGGGTTGATTTTTCGAAGCTCGGTGATGACTTTTGGCAAAAAAATGGCGGAATACCAATCCGCAGTAACAGTTCTTTGTTCATTAAGAGGAATTGTTGCAATATGACCCGCTTTTGACACAAATGTCGCGACCATCTTTTTCGAAACACTTCGAGAACTTTTGTTGGATTTTCTTCACCTTGGAACACCTAAACAGCCGACTGTGGTTTATTTTCTGGTTCATAACAGTACATCCACGGTTCATCACCACTAACAATGCTGTACACATTTTTTTGAGTTTCCGTTTTTTTACACCAATTAGCCCTTTCGGCTTTCTGCTCTCCAGTCAACAGGTGGGGTATCCAACGAGAAACTAATTTACTTACTCCTAATTCTTCATGTAAAATTTTTTGAATTGACATCTTTGAGATCTTCAAGGACGCCTCAATCTCGGGATATGTCGCATCTCTATCTTCATTGATGAGTTTGCGCACAGCATCGACGTTTTCCTGGGTGACTGCCGTTTTTGGTGCAGTCACCCTGGGATCGTCGCTAAGACTCACCCGTCCACGTTTGCATTCTCCATACCAACTGTAAATTGTCGACTGATGTGGCGCTTCGTTGCCGAAAACAGACAGTAACTCAGCAAGGCATTCTTGTTGCGATAATTGTCTCTGAAAGTTGTAATAAATTATGGCGCGAAAATGTTCTCGATTGAGTTCCATTTTTCTAATGACTTGGTGACACTTAAAAATTCACTATAGTGAGAATGCACGTATTGTTGTGAAACTTTGAATTTAAGTTTACTAAAGAGTGAGGTTAAGATTCAGTACTGACGTTCGATTGGCGTGGCCTACTATGTTTCTATATGCAAAACTTAAAAGACATTTCTCGTATCAAGTCTAGTATTTTTATGTCTGTCCGTCATGTACTTGAAAATTCAAGTGGTCTTTATATTATGTACTTGATAATCTTTTTAATATAAATACGTGCAGGTTATAAGTACACAACGGGAAGACTATTTGTCACAAGTTGCAGAGAAAAGAATACATATTGAACAAAATAGTTTATTAATCGTATAACAAATAATAGAACGTTAAGACCGCGGACTTTAGTAGAAAAAAAGCTCCGTCGTCAGCTGATTCCGAAAGAAAAAACAAAAGATTCTAAATTAGGCTCCTAACGGATTCACCTGATGGTAAAATGAAAAATGATCGAAGTGACCGGATTTTGAACCACATTCATATATCATAATGATTATTCTTAAGCTGTGCCTGTTATACAACATGTATCACTATCTAAGTTCATTCATCAGACTCATCCAAATTCCATAGACTCATAGTCAGAAACTGTAAAGTGTTCTGTGATATAAATGTCCCGAAAAAGTTATATTGTGGATATGATCGCTCTAGATTAGAATATAGTCTCCAGACCTGACATCTTTGGACTACGTCTGACGGCGAGCGAAAGTATTAGTGTATGGGACAGAGGTGCCTATCAGAGAGGTGTTAATCCAAAGGATAGAAGCCGCATTTTAACTGATGAAAGAAGGGATGCGGCTCCGGTCAACAACAGTTCAAATGCGAAGGAGTTATGGGCATGTCTCAGAAATGGAGGCAGTCATTTCGAAAATATGCTGTAATTCGTTCTCATGAAATAAAAATATGAAAAATCGAAACAAAAGATACTTTGTTTCTGAACCTAATCAACTGTTCTCTTCTTCTGACCGCAAAACATATTATTTCTATATATACTAAGTTACATATAAATCCGAACACCCAGTTTAAATGGTTTTATTTTAATAAAAGTTGGTGTATTTATCTTACTGTAAATAACAAGTGAAAAAATTTTCAGCCTTATCAGTTGTACATCCCGGTTTTTATACTGCTTTTTTTTTAATTCACTAACGCTCTAAAAATGAATATTTCAGCGGCAGTAAAGTATCAACGTTGGCGAATTTTGGTTCTTGACATCCTTTACGATCGGTTACGATGCCTAGAGTACGGAGACCTGTACGATTTCGTCAACTTAGTGAGTTTGATAGGGGCCGTATAGTGGGACTTCGGGAAGCTGGACTTTCTTTTCGGGCAATTGCAGTTAGAGTGCAAAGAAGTGTAGACACTGTGGTTAGGTGTTGTCAGGCATGGCTTCGAGAAGGCCGTACGCAAAGAGCAAGGGGCACTAGACGCCGCCGTAGAACAACAGACCGTGAAGATCGCCGCCTAAGATTATTGGCCTTAAGGGCCGTTTCTCCACTACCAGGTCCACTGCGAATGAATGGTTTGCAGAACACGGAAGACCTATTGGCATGCGAAGTGTTTACCGACGAATGAGAAGTTTTGGCTTGTTTTCATACCGGCCAAACTGGGCCCTCCCTTTAACTCGAGAACACCGACGCAATCGCCTTGAGTGGCGCAGACAACGATCACTCTGGGATCAGGAATGGAACAGTATTGTCTTTAGTGACGAGTCTCGATTTTGTTTAGGCATGCACGATGGTCGTGCCAGGGTTAGAAGGCGACGTGGTGAAAGGAGGAATCCACAGTTTTTTGTTGAAAGACATGTTCATCACACTGTTGGAGTTATGGTTTGGGGTGCTATAGCTTATGGTTCCAGGTCACCTTTAATCTTCATCAGAGGTAACATGAACGCGCAGCGTTATATCCACGAAGTTCTAGAACCCCATCTTTTACCCTATCTTGACACCCTGGCAGATCCAACTTTCCAACAAGATAATGCCCGACCACATGTTGCAAGAGTCACGATAGACTTCTTTCAACATAATGATGTCACATTGTTACCATGGCCACCAAGATCTCCCAACTTATCCCCAATTGAGCACGTGTGGGATATGATGGGTAGGAGATTGCTCAATTTGCAACGTCCTCCTCAGACTCTAGAAGCACTTCGAGAGGAGTTGGTGGTTGCCTGGAATGAGACACCACAGGAGGACATGGACCACCTGATCAGAAGCATGCCTAGGCGCGTTGGAAAATGCGTAGCACATCAGGGTGCATCCCCACATTATTAAAGGTCAAAGGGCCTTAAAGCAGTGCAATCATTTTGAAATTTTTATCATTTACTTATTATGCTTCATTAAGTACTTATACAAAATTTTATTAAAATAAAACCATTTAAACTGGGTGTTCGGATTTATATGTCACTTAGTATATATTAAACAAAAAGCCAAAATTGCTACCATTCATCAGTCACAACCATCAAACGTGATTCAAGGAAACCTCTGCACTAACTCCTAGACTTAATAAAACTATCAGCCAAAGATCATTCTATTTTCTATGCTCAAAATTTTATAATGTTATTCCTACAAGCCTTAAACATATGAAATGTAAAAAACGTTTAAAAATTGAACTAAAATCATGGGTCCTAAATCACAGCCAAGGCTACAAATCCATAAGTTTGTTAACGCTAAAAACGTATATGTTATTTGATCATAAAGTGATGTAAATTTATACATTTGACTAGTATACTTAAAGAGAATTTTTTGTATTAATATAACTTCACTTCAGTTAAAACCCAAGCACAAGTGTACACTTTTTTGGGTATATTATGTTTATTGGACATTGCTGTTATTTATACGAAAACTTTGTAATTGGACCAATAAACATTGTTATTATTATTATTAAAAAAGAAATACCGTAACCAACTGACAGATGAACATTTAAATAATTATATTCGAATGGCGGTATCAAATTATACTCCAAACATTAAAAAAAATGTCAGTGACACTGAGTGTCAGGCTTCTCATTGAACACGCATTTTTTATCTGGACATGAATTTGTTTAAAATAGTACGTTGCTTTTTTATTTTTAGTTATTATATCTTATGCCATTGTAGCTGATGAAAAATTTTGTTTGTTTTTCAAACACCTACGATTGGTAGGAATGGATGTAGTTATGTGGTAGTCATTAGTTTATTTAAGTTTATTAGTCTGTATTAGTATGAATAAAGTAAACACGTGTATGTCGCATACAACTGCGTATAATTTTATTTAAGTTAGCTTACATTGCTTACGACTAGGCAGCTCACTGTTTATTACAAAATTGTCAAAGTAGCTCAACACACTGGAAAGATTGGCCACCACTGATCAGTATTCCCACATTTACGTTTAATTATAGGGGTTTCATTATTTGGGGAATTTTTCAAGTTACTCTTAAATTACTTGTTTTTAAGCTTAGCGAAACCACAAAATACCTTGTTGAAATTGCGTCAGGTGAAACCAAAACTCGTGAGCGCGATGCTCACTCTGTTGATTGGTTAAATAAGCAGTTTCAGCTTAGATAAACTTTAATATCTTGTTATTTTGTTACTTAACTAAATCATACAATATTCCACGTAGAGACCTAAAAGTTAAATGACTGTGGGATGTCATGCATGTTTCGAGAATAGCTTCTGTTTCCATAAAGTTATAAATCAGTTTTCGCGGGTGATTTCCAGCGCAGTACATTATATACGTATATAACTTTATCAAAACGAAAGTCACTTAAAACTTAAGCGTACAAACGTGGTTTCATTCGACGGCGCGGAAACATTGAGAATCGCTTTGATGAAGTTTCGGCAACGGCCATACCAGATTCCGAAAAAGGAACCTTACAGGAAAAGCTACTACATCATTGATGCATCTAAAACACCAGTTATTGCTCCTGATTATGAAAGCGGTGACAGAATGGAAACATCAAATTATAGACCCATATCAGTATTGTCGAATATAGCAAAAATTTTTGAAAAATTACCACACGAAAGGATATTACGATTTTTGGACAATAACAAAATTATATGTTCTGACCAATATGTATTTAGAAAAGGAAATTCTGCTACAGACGCAAGGTTGGCTGAAATGGATGAAATTAACTGTAATGTCAAAAAAAATAGCTACCATTGGTATCTTTGTTGACCTAAAAAATGCCTTTGACACGGTTCGAGCTTCTGAAAGTTACGGAAAGATTGGGATTGGGATCGCTGAAAAGGCTTTTATAAGGATCATTGTCTAGTTTGATAGTAAAATTTTAACATTTAACTTGAAAAAAACAAAATTTATGGCATTTACATCCTATTAAAAATTTCCGTTAATTACCACGGCCAAAAAACAAAAATCGATAGAGTTAACATATCTTGGAATATTTATTGACTCACGTTTAGGCTGGGATCATCATATTAAATATGTTATCAAAAAAATTAGAAATGTTGCCTATAAACTCAAAATGCTTGCTAGCATTCTTACAGAAAGTTCTGCGAATTCTGCGAATCCTATACCATGCCTTAGTTGAACCCCGTGTATTATACGGCATCACAGCCTGCAAGACATATATTTCTGACCTAGATACAGCGCAAAAAACCGTCTTGAAAGCCATTTTCCATAAACCAAGATTATATTCGACAAACAACTCATATCAGAAAATGATTCTAGATAACTTTATTTCTTACATGCTACCAGCTTATACCACAAGTGATGTAACGAAAAAAAATCCCATAAACACGAGCATAATACACGATTTCGAATAGACTCATCTACGAGCCCCTTCCCACTTCAGTTGGGCCAACTATTGAAATTTTAGTTTTTTTCTTATCAAACACAAATAATAAAAATGTAGCAGGGTGTTATAGGTTTAAAATATTAACAATAAATATTTTGATGATATATAGTAGAAAACACTAACTTTATCACTCCCTAATCAAATTTGCAGCATAAAAATAACACATGTTGCAA